TTGTAACAATTGTCTATCTCTGTAGGAGTTGAAGCATTGGAAGTAGAGATAGTATTTGTGATGTCTTCTACAGAGTCGCTCACCGTTTTAAGTTCGGCTTGCACAGCTGTGGAGGATACCATAGCCTGTCCTGTACATTGGCTCTGGCCATCATATTCCTGGTCCTTCACTACAATATTTTAGTTAAAATTACTAGTATTATGATGCTAAAATCTTTGATACATTCTGAGTTTTTTGGTAAATCTGGTTTGTCAATAGGGTTTGTTGTCATTATATCAAATAGCAGTAAGATTGAAAATTTATAAATAGATATAATTTGGTCAATGAAACATTTTGTCATCTGGTTGTCTATAATGAAATAAGTAAAGGTATCAGGTGTTTTAATTTTCTTAAAATTCTTAGATAATAATAGTTTAACTTTGAAGTAGTTATTTAGAAAACTTCTAAAGGAGAATTCTTCTCTGAGTTGTTCTATAATTTGCATAAGATTGGTATCTGGATCTTGTAGATTAATTGAAAAATAAAGTCTATATTTGCTGCTTAGATTCTGATATGTCAATGGTAGTAGTTTTATTGATAGTGATAAATTGAAAAAACTGAAAGATATACTATCACAGATATAGTAGTCTTGTAGTTTTTTTTTAAAATATATCAAGTTATTTAATTGGCTATGTTCTGTAATAGGAAAGAGGTCTTTAATTTTTGGATATAGTTCATATATGTTTTTTGAAATTGGGTCTAAAGTTACAAATATTTTTCTGACAATAGTCAAAGTTGTAAATTCTATATAATCTAGTTACAATAGCTTTTGTTTGTGATTTTTGTTTTATGAGAAGTTCAAAATGAAGTATTTGTAAGTTTTTTATAATATTTCATTTGAATCTGTTAGAAGAAGAACTAGTTGTAAGAAAAAGACATTCTGTATTGATTCTTGTATTTTTTTAAATTCAATTGGAGTTTCATCTTTAGTAAAGCCTTTGTAATATTTAATTAAGTGACATATGGTCTTGGCTATATTTGTTGTAAAGTTTGTACAAGTGAGGTAATTAATTATAATTTTTTGTCTAAGTTTAGTATGTATAGTTTTTCTAATTGCTCTTGTTGTAATTGTGATTTCATGTTGTGTTTTATAATTTTTGATTGCTTCTCTAAATAGGTCTTCATATATGGTTTGATGAGGTGGTATGAATTGTTTATCTCTTGTAAATGTAAAGAAGAAAGTATAGTCCTAATGTTTAAATTTTGTCTCAATTGTAGCATGAAGAAAGAAGTTAGTTGGTTTGGTTTACAACTTGTGTACTGTAAAGTTGAAAATTCATTTTTTTGTTTTAAATATAGTAATAATTTTGTCATATTTTCAAACATTTTTGTCAAAGGGTTGAGTGATTCTATTTTGTAATCTATTGCATATACTATTTATTCATTCTTGAGTATAGTCTATCTTCATCTCAGTTTGCATTTTGTTAGATATGAGAATATTTTTTTGATCATTTAGCTGTAAATAAATAGTTTGTGTTCTTCTGAATTGATATCTATAGTTATAACAGATTCTGTATCCATGTGATTATTATTTATATTTGTTTGTCTTTGTTATCTAAGATGCTGTATTGATTGTCTGTCTAGTCTAGATTATCATTAGTATTGGGGTTTTCTAAAATGGATTCTATTAGAAATATAAGATTAGTTAATTTTGTTGTTGTATTTTCAAAACTGGTTTGTACAGGTTTATTGTTGTTATTATTTGTATGTAATGATGTTATGATTGAATTTGATGTAGGTGAGTTGGATTGCCCATTTTTTGCATTATTTTGAATCTTAGAAGAAGAGTTCATCATTTTTTTACTAATATATCTAAGTAAATGAAATCTTTTTTGGTACTGGTTCTACTTTTTAAGAAACTGTTATTGTATGAACTTATAGTTTAATTTCTCATCTATAATTTTAGTATAGTCTTAAAGAAGAATATAAATGAGAAGCCTATAAGTCTATGTTAACTTTCTTTGTTTGTTGAAGTATTGTTAAGCCTATAAATCTATGTTAACTTTCTTTGTTTGTTGAAGTATTGTTGGTTTTATTTTGTTTTCTTTTAATCTTGTTTAAATTTTTTAATTTATCTTGTCTGTAAACTGCAAGCCTAAGGCCAGAAGCAACTTTTAATCACTAAAAATTTAATTACTTTATAAATTTCTATGTATATGTTTTGTTGATTATTTGTTTACTTAGTATTTTGTAATTTATAGACTAAACTTCTATTTTTATTGTACTTTTTATTCTTAAATTTATATACTTTTAAAAATTATTTAAATCTGACAAGACTTCTTTAATAAAATTTAAGTATTTTTATTAGCAAAATTACATACAAAATACTTCAAATAACAAAACCTTTGCAGCTTAATACAGCAATAGATTGTGTAGTAGTGGTAGTTACTATATAGTTAATGCTTAATTTAGTAAAAACCAATTTGAATAAATGCTATAAAAAAATTCAAGTCAGAAACCTGACAATATTCTAATACTTGCCGCATTACTTTTAAGTTTCTGGTAACTAGTAGATTAGAGGTTTCATTGTGCTGTTGATTCTTTTTGACAAACAGAAGCTTCACTGTGTAGCTGACCCTAGCATTTTATAATACAGTAATAACGAATACATGCTATAATGAACTTGTTTAAAAAATTTAAAATAAATAAACAAATCTCTATTAGCTCAATATGAAGACATAGTAAATTATTACAGTATTATACCGGATGGATGAAAAGTAACTGGATAAGAACCTTTTTTTGATCGCCGATACTATTGATTATCACTTAACGAGCTATCAAATAACATCTGACTGATGATCATTACTAAATAAGGTATGATCGTCAATAACCAAATTCGGCATATTCCCAGACTAAAAATCATTATTATCGTTATATTAACTTTTCTAAAAGTGGGATTTTGATTATTTTCAATAGTGGAGCCCTACCACCCTAATAAACTTTCTACTCACTTTGTTATTATTTATTTTTTGTACAGTCGACTCTCGAGATTATGAAATTTTGCATTTGAAATAACAAAAAATTTTTGTCTTATAAATGTAAACATATAAATTTGTCTTCTGATAACCGAATATTTCTTTATAGTGAAGGCATAAGGTCAAAATGTAGGCTTCACTATATCGAGCTTTAATTCTAGTATTATTTTTTTAAAAACTATTTTAAAGTGTAAAATTCAATAGCCAATCATATAAAAGTTCTTTACAGAAACATGCACATTTGCAACTTTAATACTACTCGTAAAGTAACTATATAGCTACTTTATAGTAACTATAGTTTTGCATTTAACATAAGTTAGCAATATGCCTACTACTATGTTACTATATATTAGTGATACTGCAATTTTATAATCTCAATTTTTTGTAAAAATATTATCCAATGTCGATATCAATATTTGTACTCTTATAAAAAAAATCGAAATCTATTATCTTTATTATTACTTGTTACAGTTTAAATGCTATCTGATCAAGAAATTCTAAACCATTAAAATAATACAAGTCTCAGTACGGTATTAAATGCACTTATTTACGTATGTTGTCTTCAATATCATATAAATAGGAAACCCATTCATTTGATTCACAGGGTCTATTCTTTTTGATTCATAAAAAATGCTTTCTTTTTGTTACTATCCCATATTATTTAACCCTTCTAACTCTAATAAAAAAAGTGGACCTTTTTTATGAATCAAGAAGAATATTTCCCTTGAATCAAAAAGGATGAAATTGCGTATAAATGAAAAAATTAAAAAATCCCATGAGATTTGATGCATTTTCATATATCAAAGCTTAAAATTATTCACAATTTATTGTTATTAATTTATGGCTCAAATAAATAATATAATTTATATTCGATATTGGTGTTAGAAAATTAGTTTACAAGTATGTAATATTGTAAATGATGCAAATCATGAGTTACCTATTATTAAAAACAGAATATATACATGTTTATACGTCAATTCACGATTTTAAATTGACATATAGTTGAAAATCAAGTTATGAGACATATAATTCACTATATCTCATAACTTGATTTCAAGGCAAAGATCCCATGTCGATACATCATTTTAAAATTTATGCACTCACATGTCAAATTTAACTATGCCAATATCGATATGATTAGCCTTTTGATTGAATAGAAAAAAAAATAAAGTTTAAAGTATATAAAAAGTATATAAAAAGTATATGATAAAATAACTTTTAATATTAATAATTTAATGACTTAAAATCGTTCGTTAGTTGCATTTTATACTATCGAGACAGTTAACATAGTCGAAAATAAAAATCGATCTAAATATCATCATTTTCTGACGCTTTTATGAACCTTCAAAGTACACATAAAAATGAATGTGAGATAATAGTAATTAAAGTATTAAAGTCGAAAACATTGAGAAGATAAATATTAAAAATGAAAATTAGAATCGTTGTACACCAATTTGTTCTTAAGCAAGTTATTCTCCAGTTAAAAAACTCATCCAAAACAGCTTTACATGGTTTCTAAAAATTGAAATCTTAGATAACAGTATCCAACAAATGGAACCACTAATCTCTTTTTATCTCTTTAAGAAATGCTACGGCACATCAAAATTTGTATTTATACTAGATGTTATGTCTGAGTATTGCGGTACGTCATAAAACATATCAATATACTTATAACGTGAAATGACTTATGTCACTTCTGAACTAACATGAGTAACAAAAGTCATGGTTTTCTGTTTTAAAATACATTCGTACCAGATGCAATTTTCCCAACGGTCTCCCGTGTGACTTGAAATCGATACACCAGGAGGACGTATATTAAGTTTATAGCCTTCGATATGCTACTTCAATCGTGATTATGTTTGGATACCCCTCAAGTTGTAACTTCAGGTACCTGAAGTTACACTGACGCATACGCATGCAAGAAATTTAATTTCAGGGGTTAAGTACGATTAAATTTGCGACGCAGAAGTAATATTTATTACGATGCAACAACGTTCATTGGAAATATACGTCACAAGTATTATACATATATAAATAACCATATATGAGGTTATATACTAAGATTATTATTATTCTATTTAACTATTTGATTCGATGCTACGTATTTTATCCATGTTGTATTTTAGACTTTATATTTTCACTTTTCTCTTAAATTTTCCTTTTACTTTTGCTGCTTTTATTCCAAATGCAAGAGATATTCATTCTTCAGTCCTTATTGATAGCAAACTCTATTTTAGTGGTGGATATATTAATAATGGAAATAATGTTACGAATGAATTCTTTTATTTAGATGTTTCTAAACCATTTAAAACAACAGAAGATATCTTAATACCATGGGTTGACCTTACTTATACCGGCGGTCCTCAAAAAGCATATGTTACAGCATGTATTGGTGGAAAAAATAACGATATGATTTTTATTTTTGGTAATAAACCTAATAATAATCAATCATTCGTTAATCAATTTGATACAAATAAACAGCAGTGGATTAATATCACATCTTCTGGAAGTGTACCCACAGATAGAGATGAAATTTCATGTGCTAAATTTAATAATGGATTGATTGCTATTTTTAGTGGTTATAATTATACACCTATCGCTATCACTAATGAACTTTGGATATTCAATACACTAACATCGACATGGAATTTAAGCAATGCAATAAATGCTCCTTCATCTCGACGGGGTTATTGTGCAATAACTTTGCCTGATGATAATATTTTATATATTGGTGGAGTCAATCTTACTGCTTCTATGCCAATGGACAATGTAAGTATTATCATTTAATAAAATTAGTCCTTTAAACTCTATTCATTAACGTTTTACAGTTACCGTTATATAATACAAAAACTAATACGTGGACAATTATGGTTCGTAACATATAATTTCAAATTTTATTATATCGTACATCGATATAGCAACTAGTAATCTATCTTATATCTTATTAGAATACATATGGCCCAATACCTCCCTCTCGCCGTCATTTCTCAGCAGTATTAAGTATATATTTAATATAAATAATTGTTTTAAGTACAAAGTTTCTTTTATTAATCATTTAAATTGAAAGCTCCTGACGGGCGTATCATAATATTTGGTGGTTCTCAATCCTTTACGTATGGTGATCTGTGGATCTTAGATATTATAACGTATCAATGGTCGGTTGGAAACATTTTAAACCCAATTGCAAATTTAAGTCTTACTAGACATACTGCAACATTAGTGGATAATTATATGTTAGTTGCTTTTGGTAAAATTTTAATTATTTTATCCAAATACTGTTCTTGATTGATTGTCGGTACTGTTCCTGATGGGATAGAAAAAGTCAGGTTGCGTACCGTTCCTGATAGAGTTTTAAAAAATTACGTTACTATCGAAGTAGTAAAGTTACAGCGTAAAATTTGGCAGCCCTATTGTTACTGCCCAATCGTTTGTAAGGTCAATATGTAACATACAAAATTCAAATTGGAAATACCCTTACTGTATGTTTAGGTTAATGTTGAGACCATTATTATTGATCAAACGCGGGTTCATGACTTTAGCATTTACATTACAACCAAGCACTGTTATGTAAGTCGGCTTTGGAGTTCTTTTAAGAATCCTATCACTATTTGGAAAGGTATAGAAATCAAGTTTTGATCTATCCCATCAGGAACGGCACGACGATCCATCAAGAACAGTATTTTGCGCTATTTACACTTTTTTTTTAATTTAAACTTGCTAAATCTTTATTTGTTCAACAGGTCAATTTTCAAATAACAGTTATTCATCAAAAATATTTATGTTAAATGTAAGCCAAAAAGATTCCTATAGATGGGTTACTGAATTTATTCCAAACATTACAACTACTACAACTACTACAACTACTACAACTACTACAACTACTACAAATTCTATAATTTCAAGTAATTTAATTTCAACCAATACAGACTCTAAAAATACTAGTTTAATGATTGGAGCCATCATTGGCAGCATCATTTTTTTAGTAATATTTGTAATTGCTATTATTTCTACTCTAAAATTTATTGATCAATATAAATAAGTAATCAAATTTATTTTAAATAATATAATAGTATTTAGCTAACGTGTCACAAAGTCTATTAGTAAAATTTACATACTGATTAGTTAAATAAGTTGATATATTTTAATTTTATATATGTTGTACGTCGGAACGGAATTATTGTAAATCCACTTAGTTGGAATAGCCCAAGTTATAAGAAATTTAAAGCAACTTAGTTGATTCTAAATTTGATACTGTAATAATCAATAAATTTAATAGTTGATTTTAAATTCAATACTGCAATTAATTTTTTTTACTACTTTCTTGCTCTCTACAAAACTCTACTCGATAACTGAATTTAAAGATTATTCATTTTTAAGAAGTTCTTTTCAAATATCTAGCAATAAATCGGCCAACAGTCGGCGTAAAACCGTTAAGACTTTGATTTTTTTATTAAAATTTCACAAGATTCAACAATTACAAGCACAACGGTCAAAAGACACTCTCCTGCAAGATCCTTGAAGTTTTTGAGAATAGCACATATAAACTTGGATACAAAATCTTGTATTAGGCCGTTCAAAGTTGATTGGTTATTTAACGTCACCATTTTGAAGGCTCAAGAGGAAGAATTTAAACAAATAAATACGTAACGACACAGAATATTTGATTAAATCTCATTGGTCAATCTTCATTGAAGATTGTCCTGCATTGTGATTGGCTTGTTTAGAACAGTTAACCGAAAGGGGGATGACGTTAAACAATTATTCAATTTTGAACGGCCTTATTACAATTAGTATAATTCTAAATAATTTCTTGCGTTGGGTCTGATAAGGTTCCAAAATTAGATAGCACAGTCGCCTCCGGATATAACGAACTCAAATTTTGATGGTTTGGTATAAAATGTGCAATGAATTCTTAAGAAAACTTGGTAATTTTCTAGAATGAACTTTTTTTCTTTCAGAATCTTAAGTTCATTATTGAAAGAGTTGAATGTAGCTTAAAAGCGTGTCTATTATGCAACTCTTTTCACAAGTAGGTAATATTAAACGAAACTGCAAAAACTGATGGCAAAAATAATTGTAAATGTAAAAAAATGAAAGTACTCCGTGAAAGTGGCTGTCATCCACTAATCATAGGTTTAAAAAATTCATATAATGCTTTTAAATTTAATTAATTTGCAATGTTCTGCATTATGAATAAACTCTATCTTAAAACCACTTAAATTCCAAAACAACGTACTCGATGAAATAATTTGAAACACACTTAGTTTTATTGTAAGTTGAATTGAAATTCTCTAACTATTTGGGCCCATTTTAGAATTTTACTATGTTTATTTAAATCCACAATAATTCCATTCCGACGTACAACAAATATAAATTATAATTTTTTTTTTTAGTTTTAATTTTATTAAAAGATAATTATAATATTTTATTTAAACTTTATTTATTTATTTGTTGATATTTAATAACTGTTTATACTGTACAAAATTTATGAGAGTTAAAAAAACAAATTAAAAATTACTATTTTTTAAGTCAAGAAGACTACGTAACCCAACATATAGTTTAAAACAGACTATATAATATCCTATAAATTTATAAGTATATAAACTATTATAGATTTAACCAATTAGAATTAGCAATTCTTATATACCACATAAACTCAAAATAATGCTCATATGCGCGTTAATTAATTGATCTACATGTGCGTTATTTCGAAATATAGGATAAATAGACGTCCCTTAATTATAATAGGTACAATAAAAAATTGCTAAGTAAATTTGCTTTTGCTGCCTGCCATCATAATCAGTCTGAACAACTTTTGTTAGAGTAAGAAAGCAGGTTTACTAGTACCAAATCCAGTCTGGACCATTTTTTATTTTTTTATGGAGGGATGCGCGTTAATTTGAACTACTACATACATTTTTACAGGAGGATCCCCAAATTTCTGGGTCGGATCCATCTGATTTAGGCTGACATTTAGCAATACAAAACATTTCTGGGCCAAAATTATCAGCTGGGCAGCTTAACTTAATAAGTGAGCTATGAATTTATCAGTAAAACTTTTGGCGATCTTGGACAATATTAGTTAATTCGGACCCTTCCTATCATGGTCCGAGATATAGTCATAGACTGTCGCCCATTACACGTAAAATTTCGTACCTATCATTTTTAATTAGTGCACCAATGCCGATTTAAACACTAGTTTTGAGTTTTTCTTCTTTCGCACGTGTTCGGAATTATGTCAGGCCGATCGGAACGATCAAAATTTGAATTCACTGATTGGCTATTTCCTTTTTAGAAGTTTGTATTACCGTCACAAATAAGTAATGCCTTTTTGAAGGACCTGATTTTCAAAATAACGCCAGCGGCATTATTTCTAATTTATATATTTCCTTAAATATATTTTCCTAAAGCCTATTCATTTACTATACTAAAATAAATGAGACCTAAAAATATATAATTACTGTATTATAATCAACGTTTATTATGAAAAAATTCATTAAACCCATAGTCTTAAAATCTTTAAAGTTATTAAACGGTTTAAGTGTAATTGACCGTTTTTGACATATGTAATACATACGTAATACGTAAAAACTTCTTTACAAATACTATATAATAACTCAGCAAAACTATTATTTATTTTTTTTTTAAAAAAACCGTTTTTTTTTTTTTTTTATACTGTCAAATACATTCGACCATTTAGTAATCATATATAGTTCTATAGTTATAATACGTAGAAATTTCACCTTCTAAGTAGAACATCTCCAGGTTGAGGATCTTTTTTGATTATTTTGCATAGTAACTGTTGGAGCTTCACTAAGGATAGAGACGGTCTTAATTTTCATTTGTTTACTTGTGAGATGTATATTTTTAAAATGTACTCTAAACTGTATAAATACAATTGTAAATGATTGACCAATCAGAAGAAAGTTACCTATAATATACCTCGTGTACAAATAAAAATTCTCTATTGTTAATATTAATTTTATGAAATGATCGCGCATTTTAGCTGGATTATGTACATGAATGCTCTTTCCAAGGGAAAAACAAGATTTCAAGCTTTCAAATTTATGTGACTTAGTAGGAATCATAGGACGACTTTCATATAATTAGCGTTAAAACAATTTAATTTTATTATTTATATAGTTTAAAGTACTTTTTTTTAAAAAAAAGAAATAAGTAAAAATAAAGGTTTATTAGGTCGTAGGACTTCACTATTAAAAATAATCAAAATCCATTTTTCTGAAAAATACGGTATAATCATGTTAACTTCTCTAAAACGAAAAGAGATTTTGATTATTTTTAATAGTAGAGTCCTGTAACCTTAATAAAACTTTCTATATATTTTGGATTTATTTATATTTTGTAGTTTTATTTTTTTTAAGTACTTTAAACTGTATCAATAATGTAAAATTAAATTAATTTAAACAGACAATCATAAGTCTTTCTATGACAGTAGAGTCAATAATTTTACGCAATTTTGTGTAAGATTGAGTAAATTGAAATTTCATGTAATTGTAATTTTGAATATAAGACTTTAGTTTCTGAGACCAGATTTTCGGCGATTTAGGAGTTACATTAGGACCGTACACTCAAATCAAACGATGTAATAATGCTGGTAGAGCTTTGTAAATCTGGTGCTTTATGCATTACGTGTGAAAACTACATGAAATTTAATTTTCTAAAACTTACGTAAAATTACATATAATGGGGCTTTAAAATCTATACAATATATGTTGTGCCTGAAGTTAGCATTTGCCAAAAATTGTAACTTCAGTTACACCTGTCTAAATTGCTAGCTAATGATCTAATTTCAGGAACTAATTTTCAGTCAAGTGCAACTTCAGACATGTCAATGACAAAGCAAATGATAATATTTATAACAACGCAAAGTTCATTGGAAGAATGCAAATAAGTGCTTGTTATTGACCATGTTGTGGATGATACTTATTATTTACTAGGACATTGCCAGGGTTGGGATAACTTACCTGACAATTTAACTTACATTGTAAGTTACATAGTTTCATGTAAGTTTCATGTAAGTTACAAATACATAATGCTAATGCAGGTCAACTCTGAGATTAAACTCGGCTGGCATTAGGAATACTAAGCTCATAGGGAAGCCGATTCTTATTCAGTACTAAAATATGCAAGTTACATAAGTTATGTCAGTTAAAATTTAACTTATTGTCAGTTTATACGTAAATTACCAAACCCTGAATACTGCTCATGATGTGGTACTGAAAAGTCGTCGGATAACACGAATATTCGCGTTACAAATATTATATATATAAATAACTATATGTTATATACCGGGATTATTATTATTCTACTTTATCTATTTAGCTATTTGGTTCAATGCTTATATTCATGCTGTACTTTAGACTTTATATTTTAGCTTTTCTCTTAAATTTTCCTTTTACTTTTGCAGCTTTTATTCCAAATGCAAGATATCTTCATTCTTCAGTCCTTATTGATAAAAAACTCTATTTTAGTGGTGGACTTATTAATGATAATAACTCAATTAATGTTACGAATGAATTCTTTTATTTAGATGTTTCTAAACCGTTTACAACAACTTATAGTGTCTCAATACCATGGGTTGACCTTACTTATACCGGCGTCCTCAAAAAGCATATGCTACAGCATGTATTGGTGGAAACAATAATGATATGCTATTTATTTTTGGTGAATCTAATAATAATCAATCATTCGTTAATCAATTTGATACAAATAAACAGCAGTGGATTGATATCACATCTTCTGGAAGTGTACCCACAAATAGAGAAGATATCTCATGTGCTAATTTAATAATGGATTGATTGCTATTTTTAGTGGTCATAATTTTACGCCTATCGCTATCACTGATGAACTTTGAATATTCAATACACTAACATTGACTTGGAATTTAAGCAGTGCAATAAATACACCTTCATCTCGACGGAGTTATCGTGCAATAACTTTGCCTGATGATAATATTTTATATATTGGTGGACTTAATGATGGAATTAATCCTACTGATACTTTAGCTAGTTTATTACTTATGCCAATGGACAATGTAGGTATTATCTTTTAATAAAATTGCTCTTTTAAACTCTATTTATTAACGTTTTACAGTTACCATTATATAATACAAAAACTAATACGTGGACAATTATGGTACGTAACAAATAAATTCAAAACTTATTATATCGTACATCGATATAGCAACTAATAATCAATCTTATATCTTATTAGAATATAACTGGCCCAACTCCTCCTTCTCGCGTTTATTTCTCAGCAGTATTAAGTATATATTTAATATAAATAATTATTTTAAGCGCAAAGTTCTTTTATTAATCATTTATACTGAAAGCTCCTGACGGGCGTATCATAATATTTGGTGGTTATCAATTACTTAGCGGTACGTATGGTGATCTGTGGATCTTAGATATTATAACGTATCAATGGTCGGTTGGAAAGATTTTAAACCCAATTGCAAATTTAAATCTTGTTGGACATACTGCAACATTAGTGGATAATTATATGTTTGTTGTTTTTGGAAAATTTTAATTATTTTATCCAAAATACTGTTCTTGATGGATTGTTGGTACTATTCCTGATGAGATAGAAAAAAGTCAGGTTGCGTACCGTTCCTGATAGAGTTTTAAAAAATTACGTTACTATCGAAGTAGTAAAGCTACAGCGTAAAATTTGGCTGCCATATTGTTATTGCCCAATCGTTTGTAAGGTCAATATGTAACATACAAAATTCAAATTGGAAATCACTTATTAGTTTCAGCACAAATACCCTTACTGTATGTTTAGCCTAATGTTGAGATGAATATTATGGATCAAACACAGGTCAAAACTTTAGCATTTACATTACGACCAAGCATTGTTATGAAAAATCGGCTTTGGAGTTCTTTTAAGAATCCTATCGCTATTTGGAAAGGTATTGAGTTGGTAAAAAATTTTTTTCGTGTTACTAAATTTGTTGATTGGCCAATAAAACTAAAGAAATCAACATGAATAAATGGAATATCTCAAAATTTAACTAGTTGATTATTAGTTGCTTCAAAGTTTTTCAACTAATGATTTGGATCACCAGTATGGAAATCAAGTTTTGTTCTATCCCATCAGGAACGGCACTGACAATCAATCAAGAATAGCATTTTGCCTATTTACACTTTTATTTTTATTTAAACATGCTAAATCTTTGTTTGTTCAACAGGTTTTTTTTCAAATACTACTTATTCATCAAAAATATTTATGTTAAATGTAAGCCAAAAAGATTCCTATAGATGGGTTACTGAATTTATTCCAAATATTACAACTACTACAACTGTTACAAATTCTATAATTTCAAGTAATTTAATTTCAAGTAATACAGAATCAAAAAATACTAGTTTAATTATTGGAGCCATCATTGGCAGCATCATTGTTTTAGTAATATTTGTAATTGTCATTATTTTCACTCTAAAATTTATTGATCAATATAAATAAGTAATAGAATTTAAACAATATTTGATAAAATCTCATTGGTCAATCCTGATCACATTATTATTGAAGATTATCCTGCATTGTGATTGGCTTTTTTAATTTCGGGAAACAGCAACTTTGAACGGCCGTATTAGAATTAGTATAATTCAAAATAATTAGATAATACAGTCGACTCTGAATATAACGAACTCAAAATTTGAAGTTTGGTATAAAAAATGCAATAAATTCTTGAGAAAACTTAGTAATTTTCTAGAATGAACTTTTTTTCTTTCAGAATCTTAAGTTCGTTATTGAAAGAGTTGAATGTAGCTTAAAAGCGTTCGAGATGTATCTATTATGCAACGCTTTTCACAAGTAGATAATATCAAATGCAATTGCAAAACTAAAAAAAATCATTGTAAATGTAAAAAATGAAAGTACTTTGTGAGAGTAGTTGCCATCCATTAATCATAGGTGTAAAATTTCATATAATGCATTTTAAATTTAATTAATTTGGAATGTGCTGCGTTATGAATAAACTCTATCTTAAAACGACTTAAATTCTAAAACAACGTCTCGATGAAATAATTTGAAATACGTTTTATTGTAAGCTGAACTGAAATTCTCCAACAATTTGGGCTCATCTTAGAATTTTATTACAACCTATGTTTATTTGAAATCAATCTAGGTAGATTCTAAATCCATTCCGATATACAACATATATAAATCATAATTTTTTTTAGGTTTAATTTTATTAAAAAGATAATTATAAAATTTTATTTATTTATTTATTTATTTATTTATTTATTGATATTTAATAACTGATAGTTAAAAAAAATAAATTAAAAATAATTTACTACATAACCCAGTCATATAGTTTAAAATAATTAAGAAATCAAAAATAATAAATGTAAATAATTACATTACAAATTATACCATATCTAGTAGAAAATGGTATTGATCAGGAAAAAACAATCTCTTCTTTCCTCTAGAAAATATATTATGACCTATTAATATCAAGAATATATAAAGAGCAGTAAGAGTACTTTAGTGGAATTCCTTCTCTAAGTGCAAAAAAAATACATATTTCTATAATGGTCTATATAGATGATTCCTTATGAATTGCACTAAACAAAATCTCTCTTATCAATATTTTACATATCATCTTCACATTCTATAAATTTGTTAATATAAAAACCAACCTCTCAAAGTTTATTTTAGTTACAAACTTCTCAGATTTAGACAATCCAATTTTTTTGATAAAGATTAACTAGCTGCAATTAATAATAAAACACCTTTTAAATATTTAGAAACATGGTTTTCAACTAATAAAAAGTTAATACTAATACAAAAAAAATAATAGTTGAAGCTAAAATCAATCTAAAAAAATTACAATTTGCTAACATAACAAAAAAAACAAATAATTGATATTATAAATAGTATTATTACTCTATACCTTCTCTATTGGTTATATTTCTTATTCTTTTCTTCTTCACAATTAAGCTCACTTAATAGAGTTTATACTTAATTAATTAAATATAAAACAAAACTAGTATAAAAGGTTTTAAATTTTTTTCTATTTAATCCAAATATCTATGCACTAGTAGATTTAGCTTAAGTCTAAATATTAGTACTAGTTATTACATTTTAAAAAAACCTAAATCATTCTAATTTTGATACTTTTTTTAAAAAATTACAATTACAACAACTACAGAATATAGTACTTATAAATACCTCAATTCTAGGACAACTTTTAGTTTTTCTATTATTACAAATAAATATATAAATTTATTAGATAATAATAGCATTATACATATTGAGACTGCTAATTATACATAATAATAATGACTAACCATATTCAAAAAAGTTAATTAAAACATCTATAAACTAACTTTTTGCAAATTATTCTAGAGTTTTATATCTTAAGAAAAAACAAACAATTATAATATTACAAGTATTAAACAATTTTTAAATTCAATAAATACAGAATTACTAACATGAAACAATTTTCATTACAATATTAAAAAATACTTAAAGGTCAATGTTCTTGTTAGTTTTTCTTAATGCATGATCTAATAACTGCTTTTGCAAATCCATCTTTAATATTCTTAGAATCAAACTTATACACTCTAGCCAATTAGATATTTAACAAAAAATATTAAATAATTATAAAGAATTTAATTTGTAGAAAATTTTACAATCTTCTTAATAAATATCCTAAAATCTGATAATATAATTTATACTTGAAAAATACTTTAATAGCCTGCTAAGAATACACTTTAAAAAACAAGTTATATGTTTCTAAATACTATTACTTTAATACTACAAAATCAATTTATAATCTTCAAATAGACTATAAAAAAAGGATTCATATTGATCTTGATAATTTCAAAAAAGTATTGACTCCAATCTTGCTAGCAATAAATCAAGTATAAAAACAAAAAATACACTCAGTCTTAGCTAGACCTTTATGCTTCTTTAATAACTCTCTTATACCACTTTGGAATATACTAACAAAAAATAGTAATATTATATATAACAAGTAATTAACACAACATAAAAACAACTCTCATATAATTGCAAGTTATAGTTTTTACTACTTTAATATTTTTTTTGATTATTTTACTAAGCTCTGGTCTTCTTATTTAAATATACTAATTATCTTGCTAATTTTTGTACTTATTACAATAAACTCTAGTGCCAATATAAAAATATATACTAACTTTTTACTTGTGGATATAATTACCCTTATATAATTAGTTCAATCATATAACTATCCTAGTTTAGATAACCAGCAACATATCTAACTTCTTTTGATACTAAAAGCAATAACATATAACCAAATTCTTATAGTTACACTTAACAAAGAACTTCAAATTTCTCAAGCTCAAAACAACATCTTTTTACTAAATTCTATATTACAAAAATTTTTATATAACCACTTTGTTTCAAAGCTTCTTTGTAATTTTTGTATATATTTGCTAAAAACTATATTAAAATAAATCTATTGAATTACAAACAGAATGACTTAGTTTAACCAATAACAAATTTTTTACTAGCATATTTTACAAAACAAGATTAACTAGTTACTAACTTTACAATACATTTTATATAAAGAAAAAACTCTAGTCTTAGTGACTGTTTTCTCTTCTTCAATATTAAAAAACTTTAAAATTAAATTACTATCAAAAAAGCTGTCTACTTATCTTTTTCTTTATTAGAGAAATGCTACTAATCATTTAAACTATCTCTATTCAAGATATTATAGTGCATCTGAAAATATAATACATCTCTTAACTTGTTTCTAAAATCATATATGTTTCACAATTTTAATAAAAGATACAATGCAAAAAACTTAAAACAACTTAGAAATACTATGCTTTAATATAAATAGTTTTACTTAAGCTTTTGTTTTGAATTATATTAACAAGCATATACTACTAAACTAATAACTATTAATATACTGACATTTTTTGAAAACAACAAACAAAAAAATAAATATTCTTATCCCATATATTACAATATTATTATTACAATATACAAAGAACTTTGGCTTACTTTTAGAGCAATATAATATAATTCAGTTTTTCCAATCCTATTACCATTACAGCCTCCAATATTAGCTAAAACTAAATCAACTTTACTATTAATATTAAATAAAAAAATACAATATTATATTACTAATAGACAATCTTCTCTTCATTATCTTATCAAAGACTAGAGGTTTATCATTTATTTTAGTAAAGAATAGATTGAGAATAAAGTAGCTCTTACCTCTATTTTCTTTAGTTTAGTTTCTTTAGTATTTATTTTATATATATAAATTAACTAATTAATAAAGAGATAGAGGATAGATTTCTCTTTTAAAAATAAAAAGAGATATATATTTTTTTATTATTTATTTATTAAAGCTGATGTTAATTGCAGCTAATGCTTTTATTTATATTTTTAGTTAATATATTATATATTACTTGTACAAAGTAAGTATACAACTAGTTATATATATAAATGTAACAACCTAGTGAAGTGGTCAGGTTGTCAACCTTCCAAGTGGTAGGTTGTGTGTTCAAATCCTATTAACAACAAAAATTTGAATAATTACCTATATAATATTCATATTATAACAACTATTATTAACAATTAGGTTATGATACTTATAATAGCAGTCATACTAATATGACTGGCAAGTCATGAAGTATCTGTATAACTTGTTATATAGAGGAATGCAAACTGACAAATTAGGTAATGCAAATACTAGATAAGTCCTTGTAGCTGTATAAATCTGTTGAAATTAGATAACAAAAAGTCTATTTAGAAAGATTTAAGTAAAGAGATAGTTAGATTTTCAGTAGTTCTACTGTAAAGGCTAGTCTAAGAAAACAGATACCAATATCATAATACCTGGTTATAGTAGCCAGATGGGTAAGAACCTTTGGGTTAAAGTCTCAAAGATATTACCAACCAAACTACTAAAATGAATCAGAAAAAAAGGATATTGAGCTAACCTAATATACTAATAAATTAGTTATAGTTTTATACAGACTATTTGAATTAGAAGTTTGATAAAAAGGCAAGTGAAAAGGCAGAAGTAGACTAAAGTACTAAGGTTATGCTATAAAATAGATGCTAAGATCTGTGTAAACTTTACAAAAGCATAGTAGTTAATAATATAACTTTAATTACAAATATTGGTTCTGTTATAGTAATATCTAGGTTAGCTGTAAAAATAAGTACAAAAGGCTCTAGGGAGTTTATCTTGAGAATAAATTAGTCTTAAGGTTGAGATGATAATTTAGACATCTGGGTATAACTTAGTAAGTTAATACAGATTACAGGTTTAGAGAATTTAAAGTAAAATATTTAAACAATAGTATTAGGTATAATAAT